AAGTATTCCATCCATCTGGTCAGGTGGAATCGAGATCCTCGTGTTCTGGGATGTTTCATCATCTCCAGTATCTTCACATGGCAAAGCCAATTAAATTAAGGGTATTTGTTTGGTCCGAATAATTAATGGATATATTTCATGGGGTGGTTGAAATTACTATTGCTTTTCACCCAACAGATGAAATTTATCCGTTATTCACTCAGAACCTGCAAATTGTTCTGTTTATTTTATGCTTTAAACACATTGGTTATCTAAAATGTAAATAGTTGATGTCTTACTAAAATGTCAGCTATGCGCTCTCCATTGCCTGCTGTGTACCTGCGATAAATGTGAACAGTTCCTCTTTAGACGGATATAAATTCATTTACATTTCTATGATTACAATCCACTAGTTTCGATGAAAGCAATAATTACTAATATAAAACAGATATCTTCAAATTGTTTATTAATTTGTAATTCTTTATTGTGAACAAATAATAGCTAATATACCAAATAAATTCAACAGAGGCCTAATCAACAAGACTTAATTCCAGCAGGCAAGAAAAATAAATGTAAGAAAAACTTTTGTGGTAAAAACGCAACGCAACAAAACAAAACAACAGTTACAGCAAAAGCAATAACACCACCACCCACCCCACCCTACCCACCCCACCCCCAAAACAAATGAACGAACATCTAGTGAAGATTTTAAGTGTATTTTAGTTATTGTCGGTGTCACTACGAAGAATGCATCTCCATTTTCATAGTGGTGAAAACGATCATGTAGCTGAATAAGGACATGTAATTACAGTTAATTATCAAATTTATTTCCTTTGGAATATTGACTAATTCATGTAGAAGCATACAAAATGAGCTTTTTTGAAAACAAATATTTATTTAAAAAGTTAAATTATGTTTGTACGATCTTTCTACAATTTCTAACTTAGCAATTATTTTTTTATGGCTTTCTTAAGCTATCGCAATTGAAGAAATAGATAAACAGGAATTCATCCTATCAGATCTGAATATCGGTGTAGTGAGAATTAGCGCAAATAAACTTTATTTTGGACCAAACCTTGCCTTACAAGAAAATATGCTCTCAAACTCTGTTTAAAGATAATTTTGAATATGTTTCGTTGTTTCGTGAATACTGAAAAAATAGCAGAATGCAATTTTCTCTCATCCTCTCTTTTTCCCTCATTCTACTCTCTCTCCCTATGTGTTAGTTGGAAGTTTGACCTTATTGTCGCTCTATTTTTTTGGTATTTTTATTTCTGTTCATGTTCTCTATTAACCCCTGAGAAAGACTTGCCTTAGATCAAAACATAATGAAACTTTTTTCTTTGTCTTTTACTCACACTGATTTCCGCTTTTTGTGTTTATATATATATATATATATATATATATATATATATATATATATATATATATATATATATATATATATATATGTGTGTGTGTGTGTATGTATGTAGGTATGTATATATATATATATATATATATATATATATATATATATATATATATATATATATATACATATATGTATATATATATATGTATATATATATGTATATATATATATATATATATATATATATATATATATATATATATATATATATATATATATATATATGTATATATATATATATATATATATATATATATACATATATACATATATAATATCACTATATACATACATATATATAGTGATATTATTTTATATTCCCATTTTGTTTTCTTTGGTACTTCATGGAAGAAAAAGTTAGAACAAATCCAGTGTTACGAAAAGACAAATGAATGAGTAGAAGAGGGTAAGGATCAAATATATTTAAGAGAGTGTGTGTGGCCCCTCTTTCTGGTGAAATATTATTATGCAGAGGTTTTGTTTTGTTTAGTTTTCTTCCTTTTTCTCGTTCTTTTATTTTTTGTTTTGTTTCCTTTTGTTTACATTTAGAATGGCTGGGACAGTAGGGAAAGTCTTTCAATCTAAGCATATAAGTCGGTCGCCCATCAAAATTTGCAAATCGTAATTTAAAAAGAAATTAAATTATCCCAACGGGTTTAAAGTGGACAGTTTTAAGCACCAAAAACTTACCTAACAATGATTTATTTCACCCAATTTCACCCCTTTCCAACTCAAAAAAAAAGTCATTAGATCCGTAAACGAATACGAATTAGTTCTGAATGGAAGATAATCAATCCCATTTAGCAAGTTAATTCCCCTTAACTAAGAGGTTGCAAGAAAGAGATGGTCACTCTGATATTGATTTATCAAGAATGTGACCAGTGGTCGGAGATGATTCAGAAAGAAACAATATCATACGGCACATTTAACATCACTACAGACATCGCACCTGTGTGTCAGAGAATGGCATGGCTTCATTCAAGTAACCCCTTCAAGTCCACGAGTTGTTCTGGGGAAAGGTGAAGACTGCAATATATATATATATATATATATATATATATATATATATATATATATATATATATATATATATATATATATATATATATATATATATATATATATATATATATATATATATATATATATATGCAATAAACTGACGACGAACAGTACGAAACTAGTAACTAACTAGCCTAAGCGCTTTCGACTCTTAATGAGTCTTTTTCAAAGGCAAATACAAAACATAGTTACGACAAACAAATAAACACAAAAACGTTGCGTTTGTAAACCTCTATATATATATATATATATATATATATATATATATATATATATATATATATATATATATATATATATATATATATATATATATATATAGAGAGAGAGAGAGAGAGAGAGAGAGAGAGAGAGAGAGAGAGAGTTCTTTGTGTAATTAAGATGTTAAGAAAATATATATATATATAAATATATAAATATATATATATATATATATATATATATATATGCGTTTGTAAACCTCTATATATATATATATATATATATATATATATATATATATATATATATATATATATATATAGAGAGAGAGAGAGAGAGAGAGAGAGAGAGAGAGAGAGAGAGAGAGAGAGAGAGAGAGAGAGAGAGAGAGAGAGAGAGAGAGATCTTTGTGTAATTAAGATGTTAAGAAAATAAGACGTACATATATGTGCACTACATGTTTTGCTTTCGTATTGTCCGGTTGAGATCATATGCATATGTCTTTCAGATGAAAATTCGGAAGCTTAAATGGAAGATAGTCTTTAAACAACATGGTGCTGAAAATGGACTAAAGATGCTTAAAGTGTCCATCCCGTTATCCGGATAGTTGCAGACGACAGTGAAATTATTTTCCCTTACTTTCCATCATGGAATCAATCTAATTGGGCGTATTAATTCGTTGAGTAAGTAAGATTGCTTGACATTATAATCGTGATTTCACTCTAGGCTGAATTTGGGAAGTATTTTAAATCAAAGTGCCAGGTCGATGGGTGGCCCAAGAGAGTTAATCGGTTTGTAGCAACAGCGCATTCAGACTATATTTCTATGCATGCCAGAGTGAGTATCTCTAATAATTCCTCCCGATCACAAGCCAGACCCTGTTCGAGTAGTGTTATAACAACTTCACAATACATAAAGGCTACCACGCTAAACGATCTACGCTAATAAGAAATTAAAGGATGTATTTTAATATTATGTCGTATTTCATTCTCTCAGCGAATAACGTATTTTCTAAAATATTTGAACTGTATTTTGCTTTAGTTAATTTCTTTTTGCAAATTGAGTTCTTACATGCTCATTTATATTGAATTGTCGCGCTTTTCATACAGCATTTTAGTTGCATAGTTAAAAAATATAATCATTCACCTTCAACTGTAAAACAGTTAATCAGGTTTCACAAACACTGCAAATATGTTTGGTGCATTTGTACTCCTTTTCTTTTGTTAATGCTTAGTCCAAATAATGTAATAAACAGTTCATGATGTATGAAAGCAACAAAGAAATGTATAAGTAGTCTTGAATTGCGTGAATAGTACTTGGAAAACAATAACACACATCAAATATTTTTAAAATTCATATCAAATAAAAATGTCCCCAACAAATCTTGAATTAGTGGATCGAAATGTACTAATAACAGCAATGGAAATACGGAGTCAGTCTTCCGCGAAAAACATGAAGCTTTCAGTTAAAGTCTGCAGTTCATTAATTATTTCAGGCAGTTGTATTGATGAAATCAACTTTATTAGTAATAATAATTTCCTCTTTAGAAAAAAAAGACAGACTTTACACGTGAAATTATAAATAATTTTGCATTAAACATGAAACTGTTCCAGCATTATAAATTGTCTTCGAACGCTTCAGAATGATACGACCATCCCAAATCTGGCAAGAGGCTTTACTAAGCAAGGCACGTTAGATGAAAAAAAGTAATATAAAATTCAAATACGTCCACTTAAAATTTGTGTAGAGGGGGAGGGAGAACTGAATTGTAAGTTTTATGAATGTACCAAGATTTCCAAATTCACATAAACTATTTTAGCACTTTTCTCTACATAAAAGACATATGCGTCAGGTAAACATTGTTACAAATGAACAAATATATACAATTTAAGACAGTTTTCTTACAAACCTAAATTATTATAAACTCGGTAATTATTTAAGCCTTAGTACATTTGGTCTGATAAGGAAATAGTAAGTATTTTATTTTTTAATAACTGTATTAAAGAAGATAATAATTGATCATCCACCCAATTTTCATCGTGGAGCTCTGGAGGCCGAGTGGTCTAAAGCGCTCGTTTTTACCGATCACTGCCATCTCACCTATTTCCGCCTGGTTTCGAGTTTAGAGCTCGGCCAATGTGGGTATGTGAGAAAGCTTATCAGTAGTATTCGGTTAGTCAGTGCGTGTTACTGGTGTTTTCCTGGGTTCTTCCTCCATTAGTTATACTGGCCGCCATATAAAGCCTATCGTGTGCTGAGCAATTAGCTTAAACCCACCGCAACAATTTTCCTCTAAATCATAACTCAAAACTTTTGTCTTTGACACTCTTTTTAAAACCGCTCCGGTGGTCTAGTGGTTAGAGCGTTTGCCTGGGATGCTGGAAATCGTAGGTTCGATCCCCACCAGAGTCATACCAACGACTTACAAAACTGGTACTAACAGCTGCCCTGCCTCGTTTGACGTTCAGCATTAAGAGGTTAGTGTTAGGACTGGTCGGCCTGGTATCAGGATAATGTGTCTGCGGCATGATAACCCAGTGCTAGACATCATTTTAAACTGACACACTGCAGACATTGTAGCGATATGACTGAAAAATCGTTAGAGATACGTTAAAATCCAAACCACAACAACTGACACTTGGATTTAATAAATCTGTTAAAATGGTCTTCTAATTTTAATTTATTTTGAGAGTTCAAAATGCAATGACTTGTGTCGAGGTGGACATCAGTGCCGGCTTAAACCCTGTAGAAGCCCCTATGTAGTCAAAATCTCGAGAGACCCCTCGCAAATTATATCCCAATATGTCAAGATTAAATCAATTCAATATTATTTTGATCCGCTGTCGCCGGGCCCCTAAAAGACGCGAGGCCTGTAGGTTGGTGCCTGCTGTGCTTATTGGATAATCCGGCACTGGTAGACATGGATGACTTATCATGCCTGCGTGATCAAAACGTGTTTGCTTCAAGATTATATCAATTCAGAATCCAATCGGATATTATAGTTATTTCAAATAAATTGATACTTTTGAAATCATTATGCTTCCATCGTAGTGATCAGAGATTTCTATAAGTTTGTTCGTGTATGTATATATGACAATACATTAACATATTTAAATTGTTTTGTTTTAGCAAAGTATCTACTTATATATAGTAAAGAAAGATAGATTAACCAATTATTTTACTTGACTACATAATGACATCAACGCATTGCAATCGGCGACTAATTTGACTAACGTTAAACATGTCGTCTTAACCATGCATGCTGCAGAAATATATCGTCTTGATTATGCATGCTCCAGAAAATCTGGTCATAATCATGACAGCTTACTATTTCCATATACGCCATATCCACTATGTCTAAGTGTTAAAAAAACCTAGATCTCAGCTCAATATATAAGATTTGGAACTTTATTATGTGTCCTTTAAATACAGTGCAAATGATACATGATAAATATTTTCCCCTTGTCAAACCCATTGATTTCATGTGAATATAACCGATTTCCTAACATTCAAAAATGTACAAAGCTTTTATTCCGATATTATTGCACTGTGCAAAAAGAAATATCATTTATTTTATATTTGTCAATATTCTTATCTTTCCTTGACCGACTTTTGATTTAATGCTTCAACAGAATTTCTACTGATGTTTCCTTGAAAAAATTTCTTATCAGAACTCAAAAACTCTCTTATTTAATAATAGATTGTGCCTCATGGAAATATGTATTCACTTCAGTATATACAATAAACTCTACTGTAATAGGTGTGGGAAAGCATTGGATAAAAACTCATAATTACAATTAGAATATTCTGTACATTTAGCTAAATAGTGGATTACACATGTACCGTTATTTCTACATTTGATTAATCTCTTGTCATGTCCACTTCTAGAGTAAGCCACATGCAAATTATTATAGATTCAAGGATGATATAATTATCATTGAGACACTGTACATCGTTAATGTAATCAAAGTGGATCTTACCAAAGTTATCAGTGCTATCAGTTTTCATTCACTGTCTCTCCTACGTCACTCGTTGTAGATTGGTGCAAACATAGCCAGAAGAAACAAAACTGTCAAACATGAACAAGAATGATGTCAAAATATTGTACTTAGTCAAATGTCTTCAATGTCGAGAACTCGTCTTATCTCACGTGTCATTGTCAACAGTGGTGCTGATAACAAAGCAATACTAAGTGTAACAAAAAAAAATCTCAAAGCACACGAGACAAGTTAGAAACGCCGATACCGTTTTGGTACACGGTACTATGCACCCGTCCGAGAGAGATAGTTACACAATTCACAATAAACTGGATCCTTCATAAACAAGATAAGTATAAGTCTATCGTTATATGCAGCCCAAAACTACAAATTCGACGTTTGCACAATACAAATGCCTCCCGATGACAGAGCAAATATATTGGCTGAATTAATAAATAATTATTGAATTGTAAAACTTTACATGCTGGTCAGGTCAAGTTATGTCGTATGTACAATGTTTCATGGATATTTTCCCAAAAACAAGCGTATTTTGTATAAAGGTGCAATCATAAGGTCTTTGTGAACAATACATTAAGCTTTTTATGGTATTAGCAACAATATATTTCCCTCTATGGTATTAGCAACAATAATTCGCTCTATGGTATTGGCAACAGTATATTACTCTTTATGGTATTAGCAACATTATATTTCGCTCTATGTTATTGGCAACAGTATACTAATCTTTATGGTATTGGCAAAATTACGCTTTTTGGTATTAGCAACAAAATATTACGCTTTATAGCCTTGGCAACTGTGTATTACGCTTTATGGTATTACCAACAATATATTTCGCTCTATGGTATTGGCAACATTATATTACGCTTATGGTATTGGCAACAGTTTATTACTCTTTATGGTGTTGGCAGCATTACGCTTTTTGGTATTAGCAATACTATATTACGCTTTATAGCATTGGCAACTGTGTATTACGTTTTTTGATATTAGCAACAATATATTTCTCTCTATGGTATTGGCAACAGTATATTACACTTTATGGTATTGGCAACAGTTAATTAAGCTTTATGGTATTGGCAACATTACGGTTTTTGGCATCAGCAACAATATATTACACTTTATGGTATTAGCAACAATATATTTCGCTCTATGGTATTGGCAACAGTATATTACGCTTTTTGGTATTAGCAACAATATATTACGTTTTGTGGCATTTGCAATAGTGTATTACTGTTTTTGGTATTAACAGCAATATATTACACTTTATGGTCTTAGCAACAATATATTTCGATCTATGGTATTGGCAGCAACATATTTCGCTCTATGGTATTGACAACAATATATTACGCTTTATGGTATTGGCAAAAATACAACAGTACATTAGGCTTTATGGTATTGGCGAAATTACACAGAGCTGTATGGTATCTGATGAATACGGATGATACTTCCTTAAAAAAACTATTGTATAATAAATGTTTATCTATGATTGGAGGAGAGCTATAACAATGTTTAACCCTACGTAATTATGAAATATTACATAACAGTACAAAAATTGCGTGGCCGAAATTTATTGGATATTCTATGAATTGGAAAGAATAATATCAATTTAGCGCATATAGATCGATGTCTGGAATGTAAGTATGCGTATAACTATATATTGATCCAGTATTATAGTAATAATAACGACAGTGCGATATATCAAGCCCCAAACCGTTACTGATACTGATTGACGGTTTAATGGTCTAACTCGTATATTCTTTAAATTATGAAATCCTATCCCGATACTCTTGTCCGCACACGACAGTGTGCGTTTTAGACACTTACCGGTGTAACTTGCGGCTTTTGAGTTGTGGTCAGCTGAACAATTCTTTCAGCAATTTGTACAGAGTATTTCCAGATCAAATCATATGTTTGTCAATGCGAGTAAAATAACACAGCTATACCCACTGTTACTATCTCGAGTTTCGTGACCCTTTTTTGACCACAAAATTGAAACAGGCCTTGTCTTGGAATACCGAGCTGTTGTGTTCTTTCTTGAGAAACTGCAAGACCATAAATACTGAATTCACCGGATTAGTCCGCGAGTACGTTAACGATGGAGAAAGTTAAGAAGAATTTTGTTGTGTCTTGTCTTTTTATGGACACTTTTGCAGTGACAAATGCACTGGTAATTAAGCCACAACAAAATCGGTTATTCGGAAACGTATATCTACAGTGTAATTAATATACTTTATGGAAAACGTACAAATTTTTTTTATGTGCGAATTGTGGGCGAAGCTGCAGAAAATAAATCATATGGTAATATGAGTCCTTCCTCTTTGTATTAGTTTGACGTGAATTTAAAAAAGGTTGTGACACTGGATCATGACAAATTATTTATAAGATGTAGAAGTGACCATCTTGTTCTAAAGTTATAGTTTTTATGTTATTTTTGTATTTTATCAAAGTGTATGTGCTTAGTGTTATTTTCTTTTTAAAGAAAATTTTGATTTTATGATTTCGATATAGGGTTGTTACACTATTCAAATTCGTTATGTTCCGATATGTTTCAAATTATTGATTAAGATATATATATATATATATATATATATATATATATATATATATATATATATATATATATATATATATATATATATATATATATATATATATATATATATATATATATTTCTCTACATCAGAATATCTTTTATTACAGAGTAGTATAAATTTTAGATTTTAGCAAATACCACAGGATAAGTTGCTCAGCTAGGTCCAAGTCCATTAGTCTCATGACGTATGTGCACAACCTGCGCTCTGAACCGTGAGCACCAGGTGCACGTGCTGCACAATTTCCTCCAATTTAAGAATGTTTACAATTATGTTATTTCAGTTTACGTACATTTAGAAGATGCTCTTTTTATAACAAGTCTATCACAATATTTCCGGTTCCATAACTTCAGTTTAAAAACAAAATTTAATCACTTTGTCCAATTTCATAATAAATCGTTTTTTTTTTCCCAATGCGCTCAGTAGTTTAAAATGTTAATCATTAGTCCATTACCGTTCAGTCAGTTATCGTTCATGCTCTCATTCCTTTTTTTATATTCCATATCTTAGTCCTTTTCCATTGTGTTCTGTTTCTTTATCCTTTGATTCTTTTCTTCTTCCTTTCAAACGATGCGACATTTATCCATGTGTAACAGGGCAAACCATCATGGCTGTCATTCTACTAATTATGTGGCTATTCATCCTACCGGCATTCCACATCGTCACAGTGTTTTTTTCCAGGGCAATCCTTTCGGTCATTCTTTCTAAATAATTTAGCATTAAATTGTTAGCTCAATTCAAAAGCATTGCCTATTATTGACTGATTATTAATTTAATATAAAAACATACCACTAATAATAAATTGGTAAGATTAATTATGAAGATAAT